TATTCTTCTCAGAAAAGTAAAACAGTGGGTCCCCTTCAGCCATTTTGTTAAGGCAGCGAGAAGACAGAGGTTGCGATATGTCAACATTTCGATTGTTCTCTTCTGTCGCAAACACTACGAGCAGAAACGCACAAGGGATTATTTACATGGAAAAATGAGCAGCACCAATCAAATTGTCACAGACAAGACCATGGCAACCGAATTGATTGCCGCAAGAGTTTCTGTGCACATAGCACAGGTTGATAGGCCTTAATTAACAACGCCTCTATGATTACCAGTATTATCGGGTTTTTGTTACTTAACAACACTTTGAACGCTGTCTCGGAGTTCACGTGATAACGGGTTGTCATGAGGTGCTTGGTGACAGACGATGCCGGGCCCCGATTGATTGTCAGATTCGTCCCATTTTGTGGCGTAATCACTTGTACCAACCACTTTAGCAAATGTTCAGCTACCCCCTGAGCTAACTGACAGTTTGTTCTGCCTATGTAAATGTCACCGCAACTGCAGGTGAACTGATAAACAACGCAAGATCTTAATTTCTAATGGATATCCTGAGAAGTTTATTCAGGTACACAGCAGACTTCCCAGCGTGAAAACACCGGTATTGACGGTTGAGAAAAAAGGATGTTTATTTGTTCTTGACGTTCAAGTGGGACCATGTGGCAAATGATATCGGCCGCAAGCTCCGGTCCGCCCTAACGCGAACCTACATGACAGCCCAGTTGAGACTCAGGCATACCACGCGAGCACTTGTTCTTCATAACCGTCCGAGCATCTCGTCGGGTAGTTCGGCCTCTCACGTTGTTTATCAGTCCACCTGCGGTTGCGGTGACATTTACGTAGGTAGAACAAACTGTCAGTTAGCTCAGAGGGTAGCTGAACATTTGCCAAAGTGGTTGGTACAAGTGATTACGCAACAACGTGGGACGAATCTGAGAATCAATCAGGGCCCGGCATCGTCTGTCACCAAGCACCTCATGACAACCCGTTATCACGTGAACTCCGAGACAGCGTTCAAAGTGTTATTAAGTAACAAAAACCCGATAATACTGGCAATTAGTGAGGCTTAATTAAGGCTTATCAGCCTGTGTTATGTGCACGGAAACTCTTGCGGCAATCAATTCGGTTGCCATGGTCTTGTCTGTGACAATTTGATTGGTGCTGCTTATATTTTCCATGTATATAGTCCGTTGTATGTTTCTGCTCGCATTGTGTTTGCGACTGAAGATAACAATCGAAATATTGACATATTCTCAACCTCTGTCTTCTCTCTGCCTTAACAAAATGGCTGAAGGGGACCCACTGTTTTACTTTTCCGAAGAGAAGCAACTTTGATAGATGAGACTCTTCGGCGACGATTTGCGGTGGATGCGATTACAAAAACGCACATGTTATTTGGAAGCTGTTTGACACATGAAGTAATTCCTCTTGCCAACGCTGTTTGAGAACGATTGTGTAATGACTGTGTACCTTTTGTGCTATACTATACACAATAAGGTAAAAACGTCCTATTCTACTTGAACCCGTTTAAACGCTTACCCAACACCAACTTCTCCTTCCTCAAATATTATCTTATTGTGAACATTTTTGAATCGTTTTCCAAACGTTGTACTCACTTAAGCTTTCTTATGAAAGTACAATGCACTGAACAGCGTCTATAAAGTCCCGTCTCTATATGGCCGTGCAAGGTCCACTCCTTTAGCTCTCGTTGTTACCTTCCAATCGTGTATTTAATTGTGTATGTGAATGTTTCTATCGTTTGATGAGTCCGCTCTCCGCGTGCTGCACTTGTCTCCCCTTGAGAACATTAATATCTTCGCTGTTAGTTTCATTCAGCGACGTTATCGGCTCTGGAATCTGTAGTTGCGCCCAGAGTATAATATACACACCTCGTCTGCTTACGCCATTCACTTTCCACCATGATTCCGAAACTCCCGGTCCGAGCAGCATAGATGACCTGTTTAGTTATCTGCTATGTTGCTGATCCGCTCAGCGTTGGCCAAATCGCACACATCAGAATGCGCACGCGATTCAGTGTCCCAGTTTCTTGACATTTCTTTGTGTACTGTGATGCCGGCCGTTTCGTGACTCCATCCTTTGGCACCACATGGTATGGCAGAAAAAAAGGGGCTGATTTCTGCCATATTCGCATAGGTTGTGTTCTCTCATTACAACCATAGGAGATGCACTTGATTTCAGCTTGGGTCGGTGAGATTTGGGCACGGTGTTTTCTTACTCTAACCACCATCTCTGCTGTTTGTCTCTGCCGTTCAGTCGCATTTGAGATCTGCGCGATTTAACTTCCTCTCAAACTCTACCGCCACTTGTAACCTGTCTCTCCGGAGCGACGGATAATGCATTCACACACATCTACTAACGCTGCGCCTCAACTACCACTACAAACGGACCTAGATTGGCATTTTCCGGTTAACCCTTTATCATGACACTTTCTATCAGTTACGCTAGCTAGGTTGCCTTTTCCCTACTTAGTCTCAAATATACTACTCTAGGCGATTTTCGGGACAGTCCCCTCGGAATATGGAAGCTTGATGAAAACAAATAGTTTTACACTAGATTACCTGATTATTTCAACCCATTATAGATTTTATACGACATGCGCATCTTGGTTGCTCTGCTTACTGCTTCTCGTTATCCCGGACGTTGCACTTTTTCCCTTCCATCCTCATGGCTTGATGAGCTCTTTCTCCCCTAACTTTCCAGCTGAAGGCCTTTAGTTTGACATGGTATGATAGTTTTATGGCCCCACTATAGTCCACACAATTCGACTGATTAACCGGGATGCGGTTGATACTGTTACCTTGACACAGGTCGCCAAAACGGTGATTGTTTTTTCCATTGCTCCCTCCCAACGATCCACTCCACAACCGATTTTGTCCACGTTTGGACTCATTTAATAGTCATATTGATGATCTTAACATTGATTCGAGGGAAATGGGCGGAAATTAGAGCGATCCGCTAGAATAGTTAAGTCAGAGATGAGAGAACGAATTAAAGAGTACCACTGACTTCGTGGCCGTGACATATCCGATATGGTGTGCAACCATTGATATGTCCGATCTCGAAGACCTCATTCAGGTAGGCGGTAGTCACCAACCCAACTCGTCCTTCACACTCTTTTGCTGAGTCACTGACTGGTCACCTCGAGGTTCCACCGAACTAGGCGTAGTATATGTTGGTAATTAACGCATGCTGAGACAGCCACCTTGCGGACTTGTACACATGAGGGGGGGGGGGTCAGTGTAGGTGATTCGAGTTCAACAGACGCTCCAGTGAGGTACCAGGATGAATTTCAGTCCTGCTCACCCGGTACTCTTACCTTAATCCAGTCGTAGTTGAATTGTTTCACAAACACCTGATGCTGTTCCCCAGTGTGAGACGACTTGCCAGACAATAGGGTGATGACGATGATGATCGCACAGCGCTCTCTCTTTGACGAAACACACAGTGTCCGCAAACGTGTTGTGGCGCTCCACCCGCTGCTTGCTGTTATCACTTGCAAACGGTTTTGGAGTTAGGTTATCAAGTTTTGACAATTTGTCCGTCTTTATCTGTCTTCCGGTGTTTGCTTTTTGAGTTCGTTTTTGAGTAGAATGTCTCCTTAAACCATGCTACGCAACACACCATATTGGTTTTTCGGTCTGCTCACCAGCACGACGTTGAATAGTTAGCCCTACTTGCGTCATTTGCCTAGGAGTATCGCTTCTTCCTGCCTGTTGTATGACACGGATACCTTTTGTCAGGACTTTTTTATTACTACTGTTATCGTCTCCTTGATTGGGCTAACTGATATGACAAGTAGCCGCTAATTTTTTTTAGTTTCGTTGATCAACTCAGGTGTAACGTTAGTTTTTGAGGCCAACTGTGTTGCCTCGGCTCACTGCAAGTCTTATCTTCTCACTTAACTGCTCATTATTAACAGGTTCCCGCACTTTGACACATGCCTCCATCTTGTGCTTTGTTAATACTAAACATTGTGTTATGGGAACAAGTAGAAATTTACATGTATACAACTCCATCGAAATATGCTCGAAAACGTTTAAATAGCAAAAACTATCTATAACTTGCCAACACAGATCGTTTTTCAATTTCTCATGTGATATCGTAAGAAATTTACAACTCGCAGTAACTTGGGACTCACAAATGGGAGATACCATCGTCGGTGGGTAATCGTTCTCAGAATCTGGCACTGGAGAAATGTACATCCGGCAATGTTTCGTGTTCGTTTCAGCTCGGGCACCAAACGGGTGTGCTGCGTGGTGCTCACATCACTGGCGCTGACCCGTCCTCTACACTCCTCTATGCAAAGTCCCACCTTATGTTTGCAAAATCTCTGCCGCTAAAATACCAGTTAGATTAACGGTCGCTAGCGAACTGATGACATTAACTGACGTTGGATTATCGTGTCGACGATAATCAAGCATTTTCGACTGACCGCCATCCGTGATTTACTTGCGCTTCCTTCTATCATATTGATGCCGAGTAAGATTCCTCAGTGGACAGCTTGGTTTCTTGTCTTAGAAGCAATCACTTCGTGACCATGTGTAAGATTTAAAGCAAACTTTCTGTTCTCAATGAATCTGCGGTGTGTTTAAATTACGAAACGACATCTCAATCTATGCAGCGCTATAGTTTGAAGTTAACTACGGTCACATTCCAATCGTTGGAGCTGCCTCTGAGACAAAGAGATGTTCGGCTTGATCACTCCCCACTCTTCGTGATACGAGCGGATGCGATCTAGGCAGCTCTTCATCTATGCCCTTCTGTTAATCCAGATACTTTGGAACCTTGTGTTTTCTCATACGGCACTTTGTCGAATGCACACACTGCGGCTGCAATTCCTTGATGATACTGGACACCATGCTAAGGCGTTCAGGCAATCGCTAAATTGTGTGAATCTGCTTACCCTCAGTATAATGCTACCGCATTCATTTTATTATCTTCTCCTGAACCTCTCTTGTCTATACACCCTTATTCAGGAGACCAAAGGCGGCAAATCATTCCGCAAAGTCGGTTACGTCAGCGTGGACCTGGCTTGCTTCACTGGATTGGGCAACGTTACTTCCAGACGCCGGTACATTCTGCAGGGTTATGATGAGAAGCACAAGCGTTTGGACAATTCTCTTCTAATTGTCTCGTTTTCCATGCGTCAGTTACTCGGTGACACGTGTTTTCGACCGTGAGTGTCTTTTCTTGTCCGTGTTCCACTACTTTTATCTCTCCTTCTTACTGTTTTTGCTCGATTATCCACAGACGTATCACGTCTGATGATATTAATCCCAGTGGCAATACATTGACCTCAGAAACACTTGATTCCTGGTTTTGGTGCTTTACAAATGTTTATCATCTTCGGACGCGCTGCCGTCTCGATGACTTCCGTCTGTATCATGGTCTAGTGAATTGCTTCAATGGTATGCATTCACACTGCGAGTTCTACAAACACGTGCTTCTTGTTTTGGTTTGATTCATCTTCTGGTTCATTACAAGTGAACATGTGTTTTCATGACTAATTAAGGCCCCATATCTACTAACGTTTGCCCCAATGACACATCACATTAGTTGCCGTATCAATCTCCATTTTCTTCGCGTTTTCTATCCTTAATTCAACGTCTTCTTTTTTACTTCTATTAGTTCGTACGAATGTTAGCACGACGTGTCTAAACTATACCATTCATTTATCGGATTTACTACCCCTTTGAATTGCACCATCAGGGTTAGACTTCACGACGCATTATCCGTGTGATGCTCATCTGACCTACTTTGTACTGTGCCCTCAAGGGGCTCAGCGATCATTTCACTTTTCCGGCAGTCATAGTTTATGAAGATAATGAGGCGTTCGTTACACGCGTTAGTCATCCGCGTTGAGCATTATCATGAATTTCATTACGAATTTCGGGTTTCATGTCTCATTATTTTAAGGTATTCGACCATAAGTGAACAGAATTGTTGGGTTACTGTAACCCCTTCACGCGTGTTTTGTTTCGCGTCGCTTAGTAGTTACCGTGTTGGATCGGCTTTGCGGCTGCCCTCCTTTGCTGACGCAACCGCATACATCGTTTTATACCTTTGGTTTCAGGCCACCAACATGTCTTCTCCATAAACCCTTCATTCTCGAGCCCAATAGGTTCGTTGGATTTGCCTGCTCCAATCCGAATTCAGCATTTGTACTAATTACCGGTATTTAGTGTGTTCTATGGGCACCCTGACCATTTTGCATGATTCTCTAGATAATGCGTAAGATTCTCACTCGGCTGCGACACAAGCACTCCAATGCACACACGCATACACACACATTCTCCCTTTTCATTTTTTTTCTAGCTGTTTGTAGCCCATTCCTTGTTGTTCCTGTCGTCTGCCATCACTTGGATGAGACTCATGTGGTCACCTAGGTCCATTGGATGCTCTCTGTACTGACGATCGTTCTTTACATACCTCGCTTTTGACGCATCTAGTGCAGTGGAATATTTTTTCCGCGCGCTAGCAAAAAATCCGCCCCCAACCACTGTTCAGTAGCCTTATCTCGGCAGCTTGTTATCAAAGTCCCGTTTCGTCATTGGTCAACACGAACATGACTTTCCGTATGATGTCGAGATTTAGCTACGACTGATGTGTGCGTTCAGTTCAGTTCATTTGGACAACTATGATCCGAGCTCTGAAGTGCGGGGGATCCAGTTGCCACGCCTCACATCTCAAGAATGACGATGAATAACAAGGACAATAAAGCGGGCTTTAAGGCAAATAGAATGTAAAGATCATGGAAGCAGGAAAGAAGTGCGTTAGACTAATTAGAATAGAACGAAATTAACAACCAGATGCAAGAAACCGAATGCAGGAACGCCATTGACTGAGTTACTGCGCTATGTCTGATTCGATCTCCAACCATTGGTACGGACCATCACGATGCCCCCATCCGGGAAGACGGCACGCATCAACCTGACCAAGTCTCTAGGTCAATTTCTTCGTGCCTACATACCACGTCATGGGCTGGCCACCTCGCGGTCTCACCCAACTTGGTGCAATCACGGCGTATAACGCACGCCGAGGAAGTCGGTCAACGGCCATACGGAGGACATGGTCCAGCCAACGTAAGCGATTAAGATTCAGCAAACACTCGAGTGAGGCATCAGAAGGCTTCTTGCCAAAAACCAACAGGAGGAACTCAGCATTGCTCACCCGGTGTTCCCACCAAACGTGAGCAAACACCGGGGATCAGACGCAGCCAAGCGTTTAATATCTTCACTGCAAACTGGCCAGGTCTCTGATCCATACGATAACATCGATCTTATCACAATGTTATACACCCTGCCTTTCACTGACAGGCTGATCTCCCGTCGTCTTCATACATGATTGAGTCTCTGGAAATCCACACGGGCTTTGCTGATACGCGAAGTAACTTCTTCAGTGATGTGACCATCATAAATGACACAGCTACAAAAGAAAGTGAATCGATCTATCACTTCCAGTGGCTGATCGGTGATAGCTAGAACCGGAGGTGTGTCCATCCAATCCTACAGCAGTACTTTGCATTTTGAAGACGCAAAGCAAATGCCGAAGCGTGCAGCGCTACGCGTCAGTGTACCCAATAGCCAATGCGTCCGACCCAAGAAGTGCTATGTCGTCCGCATACTCAAGGTTTGTTAGTCGGTCATCTGGCAAAACTTTCACTCCGGTAGAGTTTGATGTATGCGTTGTCATGACTTTCTCGGTTGCACTGGATTTTATGCTCACCTGATGTGTTTTTGGTTTATTACATAATCTCTAATGCCAATATACGTTACGCAGTATCAGTTCGCTGTCATTCGGGTCATTGCACTCACCTTCATTCTGAGTGCTTCAAGCTTTCTGTTGTTACCACCCACTCACCAACTCCACTGCATTAAATCTGCGCCGTCGTCTTCGCTTGAATCCTTAAGGTCGCTGCAACTTGGGTCCATTTTGTTCCTGATCCACATCAACGATTTGCCTCGGCTTCTCATTTCACCTTGCGCGTTGTTTGCAGATGACTTTAAAGTATGGAGAGTAATTGATGCGCCCGACGACTGCGACCTGCTTCAGCGTGACCTTGACCGCCTCGCTATGTGGTCAGCAAAGGTCAACCATCCGATCAACCCAGTCAATTCGGTATTCATAAGCCTGGACAAGAGTGGTAATAGCCGGGTCTACAATCTGGCCGGCCAACAGTTACACCCATCGCCATCCGTGAAAGATCTCGGCGTGCTCTCACGCTGCGATTTGAAATCCGTTGAAAACACGAACAGGCTTTACCAAAACGGAATGCGCATGCTCTCGGCGCTCAAACGCAGCTTCTATATTTGGTCCCAAGAGGTTGCCATTCTCCTCTTCCCTTCTATTATCAGACCGATGCTAGAGTACAGCTCACCCGCCTACTGTCCGTTCACTTGGGGCTAGATGCAAAGGACTGAGCGGGTACAGCATGTGGCCACAAGGCTCATCCCCGGTTTACGAGGTGTGTTTTTTGAAGACGGATGCAAGAGACTGGGATGGTACACCCTGTCTTATCGTCGAATGCGGGTCGACGTCATCATGACCCACCTAATATTACATCTGGGTGATTAACCCATGTTGTGGCCGCTGCTTCATCTGCGCACACGAAGTATCGCACGAAGATACCGGTACAAGCTTGTCGTACTGGATTTGAAGCGGGTCGCTCACCAACTGTGCTTCGAACGGAGGGTGGTGACTACTTGGAACAACCTGCCTGCAGATATAGTCGAAGCAAAGTCGGTGTTGGAGTTTAAGAAACTCCTGGACTCGCACTTTGGCAACTTAAGATTTCGAGAATAATATCATAATAGCTAGATTTGCTTAAAAGATGTATCTACACAGAGACAACTCTACTCCCTGTTTATTTTCAGTATTTTAAATTTCAATCAGTGGCTCTATGACAGTTGTTTGCAGGTCTGTTGGCACCTGACCGTACCACCAGTAACTTGACATGTTGGCTAACGTTATTGTGTTTGAAAATAAAGATGTCTTTCCCGATTACAAAATATTTCTGTCTCTTCCTGACGAAACTGGTTACCACGTCCCATGACCGATTCGAGCGACACGGAACCGTATGCACTCCCAAAACTCTGTTTTACCATAGTTGTATGCTATTTGCTGAGCTTTTATGCACCATCTGGTATAGATTGGGGTATTAGGCGGCGTAAACCAAGTCGCACTAATGTAACAAAATGCCTTAGAAACCCACTGCACTTTGTGACTTTTGTCTAGAGTGAGGCAATCAAAAATCGGGCTCATTGAATAAACAGGACAATGGTAATGCGTTTTCTACGGGGACCGAGCCAACAATTGCGGTTGCTATGGTGTCGGCGATAAACGGGTGTAGATGAATGTTCAATGACTTGGTAACCACTGACTACAGTTTTCCACTCTTTGTTTGCAACGAACCTTCGATCTAGCAGCCCACACGTACTAGCTGATCTTTGATACGCTGATCGAACACGTATCGGTCTCTAAACCCACACTACTAACGTAACGTCTGAGTCACATTGATGACACTGGTAGTTCGTGCCAACAAAGATCGCACGCAAACTTAAATCAAACTTCTTATTGGGATTTTGTAGAAAGTAGAAGTCACGATTAAAATTCACGCACAATAATGTGCCTCGACGGGGAATCGAACCCCGGTCCACGAATTTCCGGTCCGCTGCTCTACCACAGCTACCGAGGGCTGACGATTAGTTGCGCAAATTTTAACGCATGACTTCTGCTTGGTGCGCGTATTGCCAATGAGGTCACAGTACCTGTCCTGATGTTGCACATTGGCTCACTCACCCGTCACTTCCCAGTGGACCGAAGTACCTGTCCTTCAAATGTCCAATGGGCGATGGTAGATTAACTTTTGAATGTTCGTGACTAATGTAAAGTTCATCACAGTTCTATTGGGACTAGTCAGTGGTGCGCATCCTCGACTGCATCATAACCCGAACCCATAAGCACCGTCGGTTCGGACAACTACATAGCAGTTTATAGCACAGCCATTACCGACGGTGATACAACATCGCGATTTACAAACTAACTGTGGTATAGCGTGAAGTATCCGTATTACTGGAGACATGTTCAATGAGAACGGGGAATTTGCTTTGTTCGTTTATTCTCCACTGTGTTCCTCGACTTCAAGAGTCCGTTCGACTCAGTCGATCGGTTTATTAT